AGAAAGGAAATAAATGTGGAGAGCAAATGTGAAAATGAGGTACAATAAAGAGTTTGAGCCACACAAAGAGAAATGTGCCAGAAGGGAGACAATTCCTTGGGTGGTTATCAACAGGGCAGTTTATCAGTTTAAAATTTCATGAATAGATAAACTTATTTCTCTCCCTCCTCTACTTTGGGTGTCAAGCCAAAGCCTGTTGGTTTATGGTTGATCCCAGAAAGTAATAAATACACATCTAAATATTTTATGCTTAAAATCCCATGGATGTAACCATTAAAAAAAAGCTTAGTCAGGTCTGAAATGCTGCTATTGTTAATGTATGGAGTGCAGAAGAAGCTTTAGAAACCGCCATGGATTGTACGTGTGTGTGTGTGGTGTGTCTTGTGGTACAGTATATACATGTGGCAGCATCGGTAGGGTCTTTGCCTGTTAAATGAAGATGAATGTTTTCCAATCAGCTTGGCTCACTGCAGCGTGAAGAGCAGTTTTCTGATCCTCTAAGCATGTAGCTTAGCGTCTCTGAAGATGCGGGAATCCCTCCGACAGATCCCAGTCACACTGAGAAAGATTGCACCCGCTCTTCTTTTCTCATCTCTTACACCTGTCTTGAATTTGTCAACACTAAATCTCCCTCCTTCTGTCTTCCTTTGATTTACACATGCTTCCTCTCCCCTGCTGTGTCACGTCTATCCCGATCTCTGCCTCCACTGTTCTCCTTGTCGATCCCACTCTGCTTCTCTCTCCTGTTTTCGTGTCAACAGAGAAATGGAGTGTGACAGACACGAGTCAGTGGCCTGTCCGTTGCATGTTGACCCCCGAGGTAATGATTATCAGTATAGAGACACAGGGATGTCCAAAATACATTCAGCATTTAAAGATAGCTTAAGATACAGTGATAACCAAGCATATTGAAAATGTAATGTACAACAAATGGCTGAGTTTATGGACATGAGTAAAAGCAAAAAAATAAAGCTGTGTCGACCCTTTCGATAAACTTGTTTGCTCACAGTAAATACTCGAGAGCACCATTGCTTGTACATGCGGACGAAAATAGATGAGGGAGAAGCGGTCTGTTTACCTTTGGACACACTTATTGATGACTCTCTGTGTGATCGTTGAGATTAAATTAGCAACCTTGCATTGTCATAGAGGTTCTGTTGCTTAGTGTCTGAATTGTAGAGCCTTGATGATAACAGGTAGCACATATCCCCAGGGTCACCTTGGAGGGGTGTTTGGAGGGAGGGAAGAGGAAGGAAGAAGTAGGGAGGAAGCGGGCCAAGATGAGAGGGGGAGGGAGAGTAGCATGCCAGTGGGAGGCTGTTGTGAGATTAGTGGTTGCAGGTTGGGGGGGGCAGAAAGATGATGTGTGGAGGAAAGAGAGTGGAGGTAGGGATGGAAAGACCTGGAGGAAAAAGGAGAATAGAAACAATGGTGAACGTCTTCTATAATCATCATCTCTCCTCTATCACAGAGTCATCCATCTTTAGTCCTAGGGCAGCCAAGAATCATACATGTGTGTGTGTGTGTGTGTGTGTGTGTGTGTGTAAATGCAATGCATGTGTGTAAGGGAACTCTCCGTTCTGCTAAAATGATAACTACAGGGTATAGTATAATGAACAAGTGGCCAGAACAGGACTCTGTACTGATTGGGTGAAATTAGGCTCACACATGAGCACGCCCTTAAAAATGATAGAGTGGTTATTTCTAAAACCGCTCTTGTTGGAAAATTACAGCTTTGCATACAAAAAGTTAACCTTTTAGAGTTATTATGTAAGGGCACACACAAGACAAATTGCTTTTCTAAAGGTTCTGTGTGCAACATTCAGAGCATCCATCTATAAGCAAACAATTAACAAACAAACAATTGTAGTAGAGCAGAGAATGAAGTCATGCTTCTTCTGTGTGTGCTTTAATCAGGGTTTCTCTGTTTATTGCTGTGGAAGATGGTCTGTCCATGCGTTAGTGCATGTGAGTCCCTATGTGCGTATCCCACTCAGTGTTGTAGTCAAGACCACCTAAAGGCCACCCAAGTCAAGACCAAGACCAAGGTAGGACAAGACAGAGTCAAGACCAAGACCAGGACATGGATGGACCAAGTCAGGACCAAATCAGGGTCAGACCGAGTCAAGACCAAAACAAAGGCATGGCAAGAGAGAGTCAAGATCCAGACCAAGGCAGCGCGAGACCGTGTCAAGATCAAAACCAAGGCAGGGCGAGACCAAGTCAAAACCAATACCAAGGTAGGGCAAGCCCAAGTCAAAACCAAGACCCAAGCAGGGCAAGCCCATGTCAAGACCAAGATCAAGGCAGGGTGAGACTGGGTCAAGACCAAGACCAAGGCAGGGCGAGACGGAATCAAGATCAAGGCAGGGCGAGCCTGTGTCAAGACCGAGACCAAAGCAGGGCGAGACAGAGTCAAGATCAAGACCAAGGCATGGCGAGAGTGAGTCAAGACCAAAACCAAAGCAGGGTAAGACTGGGTCAAGATCTAGATCATGGCAGGGCAAGCCCAAGTCAAGACCAAGACTAAGGTAGGGCAAGCCCGAATCAAGACCCAGACCAAGACAGAGCGAGACCATGTCAAGATCAAGACTACGGCAGGGTGACCATCAGTCAAGACCAAGACCAAGGTTGGGCAAGCCAAGTCAAGACTAAGACCAAGACCAAGGTAGGGCAAGCCCAAGTCAAGACCAAGACCAAAGTAGGGCGAGACAGAGTCGAGACTAAGACCAAGGCAGGGCAAGACTGAGTCAAGACCAAGACCAGTCCACTGCGAGTCCCACACTGCAGGACACACTTACAATAAAATGTGGAACATGAAAACCATCCACTCCTCAAATTGATCTGAAAGATCCTCAATCCCACTGAGTCCATCCCACCCGCAGAAAACCAGTGAAGATTCCTCTTTAATAACCTCTTTTAGTGTCATAAAACTGTATGTGTGTATGTATGTATAAGTGTACCATGAGAAATGTCTTGATAAAATAATCAAAAGACTTTGCAGAGCTGAATTTCATGTATCGGAATTCTCCTTTGTTTTCTATAAGCAAACAAATACAAACAAACACCAAAGAGCTGAAATCAACTTTCTTATCTTTAATAAACACTACTTTTTTTGCACAGGCAATTTAGTTTTATCCCCTTTATCTTGACAGGTCTTGAAGTAAAATCCCAGTCCTTCTTTTTCAAAGACCAAGATAAGACTGAGTAAAAATGCAGCCAAGTCTGAGACGAGACCAGGACCTTCCAAAAGTGGTTTTGAGGCCAGTCTCAAGTACTACAACACTAATCCCACTGGCTAGCTAAGTGCCGCCACTCTGCACTGCTCTTAAACAGCAGTGCTTGAGCCATCTCCATGTTGAAAGCACATACACACACTTGGTTAGATCACAGTATTGCATGTGTGTTGGGCAGATGGCTCCCTAAATGTGTTGTTAACATCTATTAGAGTGAAGGCAAAAATGCATTCTAGCAAATAATAATCTTGCCACTGGCTGCACCATTCAAACAACCGCACACAAAATACACACTACAACTTAACTCAGAGAAGCACATGAACACAGGGCACACTGCAGCGACTCATTGGTGTCCTCATTCATGAAGTCCTCAATCGATACCTTCACATCCCATTGCACTCCTATTTCACCTCTAGAAAGACCTTTTGATTACACAGCCCCCCCCCCCCCCCCCCCCCCCCCCCCCCCCCCCCCCCCCCCCCCCCCCCCCCCCCCCCCCCCCCCCCCCCCCCCCCCCCCCCCCCCCACACACACACACACACACACACACACTTCAGTGCTCTCCTTATTAGTGATTGCATTTGCAATGCATGACCTAGGTCTAAGACGTTACATGATGTCACACTTCTCATTTCTCACTCAGGAAAGAGCCAACACGTCATCAGTATACGTGTACAAATGATGAATGAGCCAACATGATAGATGCTGTAAATCATCAATGTGAATTGAATTACTTTCCTACATTGAGATTGTGTGGAAAAAAGAGAGGAAGATTAAGGGAGAAAAAGGAGGGTTAGCCCACAATGTTGCAGCATTGCCCAAGGGAAAGCAGCAGCAGCAGCAGCAGCAGCAGCAGCAGCAGCAAAGCCCGCAGATTCCCAGAGCTCCACGAAATGAAGCCATTTAGAGGGGGGAGATGGGAAGGGAGATGGGCTGCAGGGAGGTGGGAGGAGATGGATGGGTGTATGGAAGGATTAGAGGAATAGCTCGTCAGGCATTCAGAACACGCATTCTCCCGTATGCGACTCCCACAAGGTGCCCTTCATGCATGCACACGTGCGAGCACATATGCCCACACGTTAACACTGTTATGTGTACACACGCTTGCTATATTTGACCGAAAAAAATCCAGAAAAGCTGCCCCATTTCTCAGATTTACCTCACGGCTGACTTTGGCTTTCATCAATCACGTCATTAGTTCATCTCATGCAGGATATAAAAAATGCAGCTTAAAGACATGTTAGTCTACACAGACGAAGACCTAAACTGGCCTTAGAGTAAAATTATTTCCTCAAAATGTGATCCACAAAAATGTTTGACATAGCAAAAATAATAATCTTTGGTAATGGGGAGCATTATTAGCTCATGTCATTTGGTCACTGTCTTTGATATGTTTTTACTCTCGTTCCCCTCGGTTGCCTTCTCTGTGAATTCCTTCATTTCCGCCCCACAGTGAACAAGCTGTGTGTGAGAGTTTTGTGGTGTTCTCTGCACAAGAGACAAGAGGGGATGGAAGAGAGCCTGGAGAGGAGATACAGTACATTACATCAGAGCAATACTTCTCCTCTCCTCCTGCACCTCAGCGGTTTTACTGAAGCTGTTTAATCCAGCAAATAAGAGCACTCTCTCTCTCAGAATGTGACTGAATTTTTTATGCTATACACTTAGATGCATTCAAGCAAACAACAAAAGAAGTGATGGAGTTAATGTACTTTTTCTCACTCGCTGTATCTGTGTATGTCTCTCTTTGTCATTGTGTCTCAGATAACAGTTTTCCGGATGGGTTCAGAGGGTCATCAGGACATTGACCTTGCCATCCTCACTGCATTACTCAAAGGTGGGTGTGTGTGCATTTGTGTGTGTGTGTGTGTGTGTGTGTGTGTGTGTGTGCTCGGGCATGGATGTACAGTAAGTGGCTTCCACTTCACTGTCGCCCTCAAGGGATGTTGTTATTTGGAAGTTTCTGTACATAAAAGAAGGATGATATCGTTTCAGAAAGCATTCCTCCCACTGTCCCAGTTTAGGTGTTTATATGAAGCACATAAGTATGTTTTTACTTTTGCAGTTCATAGCTCAGGAATAAAACATAGACATGTGTGCCTATTTTTTTTTTTTTTTTCACTCTTAAAGCTCCATTAGGCGATTTTTGATCACTGCGAGGCAGGAAGACTCCAAAGCAAACTTGCAGCATTAAATCTTGTTACTATATTCTCTTATCAAACAATTGCTTTCTTGCAGTGCCTTTGGCATGGAGTCCTCTTATCACTGCCTGCCTAATATAAACCCAGTATTGACTGGCTTGGTCCACTACTTCTTGGCTCTTTTTGCCTCACTAAATATTTGACTTTTTCCAGCACGTTTGGCACTCACTGAAAAAACATGTTGTTTTCCACTTCAGTTTTTGGTCAGATTAAACAAGATATAAAGATTTTGCAGGCTTTAGCTACATAATTATTGTGTGATCATCTTCTCATCTAACTCTTAGCAAGAAAACATAAGTGTATGCCATAAAATATTGAAGCATTCCTTTTAATTGTGAGGAGGCTGTGGCTGCTGCTTGAAGCCATTTCAGACAAGCTTGCAATTAGCTCACGTTTCCTACTTTATATGCTAATACATCCCCCGTATCACAACAACACCTGCAGAATAATCAATTAGCGCGAACACAGCTGCTCATTAACTGTGTGGCCATAGATAAGTATGAATTATGATAAGTATTGTGTCTTTTCGTTTTTGGTTTTGAAGGATATATATTTCAATTTATATTTGCATTTATCTATCATATTAATACCCTTTGGGGTCAGTAATCACTTTTTAAAGGGACACATGGCCTAACTGTATGCTATTGTGCCATATCAGCTTCTCATTTCTAGGAGCTACACTAATGCTCACAGTGTGTCCAGCATCCTGAAATTCGAGTTTATTTTCATTACAAGCATCATAAAGGTAATTTAGGGGCATTTCAATAGGTGCAGACAAACAAGTAGTGGTTTGAAGGCTCATATCTATCTTATTGCCCCTCCCACATATCACACTGCAACACACAGAATAACCAATTAGCATGACATAGATCTAAAGCATGACACAGTAAGACATAGACAGAGACATACAATTAGCAGAGTCCTTATGCTGTAAGTAAATGTTATGTATTTACAAGTAAGGGCAATGAATCAGACCAAATTAAGACACAAAATTGAAAATTCCTCAAGTGCAAACTCAGCAATTAAACTCAACCACCTCATACTCTACCCTATTTCCCACTTCAGTGTTCCCATACCACTCTCTACATACACACATGTACACACACACACACACACACACACACACACACACACACACACACACACACACACACAGGATTCATGGATCCATACTTTCGATTAGTTGTTCAGTAGCTTATATTGATCATGGTTGCGCTTGCCTCTTCAAGGAATACAACGCTGCCCACTGAAGGTTGCACGCATGCTCTCTCTCAAACACACACCTATACATGCAGACACATCGAGGTACACACTAGTGGTGTGTACATGATTGACTACCTCACAAAGTGTTCCTCAGAGGAACGTTTCATTCTACAGAGACCAAACAAGTGAGTTTGGAGAGGGAGAGAGTGAAAGAGAAACGCGTTTTACATAATTTATGTGTAGCAGTCAAGATGCATGATTGCTGCAGCACATGCATCACTCTCTAATCTTTGTCTTCATCTCCTCTTGCTCTCTTGCCCTATTACTTTCTTTCTATGTACACATGTCTCGCTCATGTATTCTGTCGACTCCATCCGTCGCTCCATCTGTCATTCCTGCTCACTTTTTTATCCAGTTTCTATTCATCTCATTTCTCGTTGTGATAGGAGTGACACGTGGCGGAATGAGCAAAGGGAGGAATTGAAATCGAAGACAGAGAAAAGAAAATAGGACAAAGGAAATGAAAAGGAGGCGATCATAGAAGTGAAAGGATGAGAGGGGAACACTGAGAAACGGGGCAAAAAATGCTTTATGGTAAACAGCATGAGGGTCATTTTACATGCAAGTCTCATTCTGCAGCTGACTGAATGAGACGCGTTAAGGCTTTTAGTGTAAAATAAAATCAGTCACATCCTGCCCGAGAGCTTTTTAAAACACTGGATTAGACTCTTTTGCTGAAGAACTAAGCTACTGCCTGAAGCTCAACAAGGCACGGCACAGTCAGGAGTACACAGTGAGGGGAGAACAGAAGCAAGAGCAAGAAAAAAAGAATAAAAGGAGTCAATGTGTGAGCCTGTGTGTGTGAGAAAGAGAGAGATTTAAAGTGGGAACAGGAAGCAAACTGCAGCTAAAGACACATGGTGTAACAGGGGGGAGTTTAGAGTAATTGATGGTCTGCTGTCTGAAGCAGTCAATATCCTGAAGATTGGGTCCATAAAGTCAGTTGGCTGCAGCTCAACCTCCCTGCAGGCAGACAGAGCGAAACCACAGGACTTTGATAAAGCAAGGCCACCCTGCCTTTTAACATACACATATCTCCACTAAAGCTCTTATTAGCAGGCTCTGCATCTTATTAGCGGGGCTGTGTCTGAACTCACACCATTAAGCTCCAGTAATGCCGCACAGGCCTTTAAGACGGTGTAAAGTGATGATACTTCTGTGCTTATTAAAAATTACACAGTCTTGTCTACACACACGGGATTATTATTATACTTTATATTGCAGAGGAATTCTCTAAAGGCTGCGATGAATTGTTGCCTTATCTTTCTCATTTCAGTTAACTCCCAGTGTGCAGGTGAATTATTAATGCGAACAGCAGACTGCGGTTTTGTGTTAGATCTCACTGGTCAGTGTTTTAAGAGTGCCTTTTAAACAGTGAACAGCTACAAATACTATATTGCAGCAATATTCAATAGCATTTTTACAGTGAAGCTATTTTACATTGGATTATACAGAGAGGTTTGGTGTAATATTTATATTACTCTCTGTACCTTTTACTTTTCTGTCCATTGGATGAAGTGTTTAAAGAGTATCTATACACACTTTTTAGGTTCATAGTTGAATTTTGTATTTTCATATTTACATGCTTTTATTTTCAAAAAACACTTTTTGTCCTCATACTGTCTGTGCTAAAACACCTTAAAGAAATGTGTACTAAAACAGAGCATCTCAGACAGAGAGACCTCTGTCTGAGATGCTCTGTTTTAGTGCACATTTCTTTAAGTCCCCCTCCAAAATAGCCAGGTCAGCTCTGATTGGTCAGTGTCTCCAGGTCTTGTATATCTCCCTGTCTCTGCACCCTCACTGCAGCAGGGAGAATGACTATAACAGAGAACAGTGGCACTTTTTACTGTGAATCTCCAATAAGAGCTTCTGAACACAACTGGACGTGTTCCAGCAGGAATATGATCCAAAATTAGAGAGAAATTAACAACGTCAGCAACCACAATTACATGTTTCATTGACTTTAGAGACAGCAGATGACTTTATAGAAAAATCTGGCTCACTATGACATTATACTGTAGTCAGAATAGAAAAAAATGTTGGAAACCAAGTGTTCAGAGCGGTCTGAAGCCTGAGGTTTTTACTCACAGGAATTATTTCTCCATACATTTACCTCATCATTTGAAACTTTGGCCATGTTTAATATGAACATCCTTCATTGCAACACTATATGTAACACACAAAATACGGAAAAGCATAATATGTCCCCTTTAAGATGTATTTTATCCAACAAATATTGTATCACTGTTGTGATGAGATGATCATAACCCCATTGTAATCATTTTCTTACATTTGCAGAGTTTTTATACCAAACTAAATATGTGTGCAAAAATAAGTACATTATTTTTTTAAATTTTATTCATTAATCAAGGTAGGTCTCATTGAGATTTTCAAGGCAGTCTTGGCCAAGATAGGCAGCAGCACAAGATAAAAACATGAACATATTAACAGACACAAAACAGAAAAACTGACAAAATACAATATAAAACATTCAAATGAACAAAGCGCAGTACAAGCCACGCATCCAAAATATCACTTTATACAACTATTCTGTTTCAAGGGCTTTTAAAATGGATTTAAAAGCATTAGAAAAAACAGATCATAGAGTTTTAAAACAGTCTGAAGGTACAGAATACCTGTAAGTCTTTTTTTCACTCTGTATGAACTCTTACAAACAAATAAAAGTCCTGTGACCTAAAGAATACTGCCCAGCACTCTTCTGTAAAATATAAAGATAAAATAAGAGAGAGTGTATATAAACAAATACAAGTGTGTGCACCTGCGGGTTTCCAGAGCAGGGAGTAACGCTCACAGTGGTGAGTCAGTGCTTCACAGTTTGTGATGAATCTGAGAGAAGCCTCGTAAACTGGATCAATCAATGCCTGAGGAGAGGCATCCATGTATAAAAGATCCCAGGTTACAAGTAAAATTTTAAGGGAAGATACCAAACAAATAAAGCAGCCCTCCCTGCATTCTGAGTATCTCTGCAGATTTACAACCACCAATCTGTCCTTTAGCGAACAGCAATGACACGCAGCAAAGCTATCAGAGTGATGATAGAATTGAAGATGAGAGAAGAAAATGAAGGCCTTCTTTCAGCGATGCCATACAAGATTTTTGTTTCGATATTTGTCAGTGTGCCCTTGAATCTTGTTTTGTTCTGCCTCTAGTTCATCCAGTATTACATTAAGCAAATCAGATCTGTCATTTTTTAGTTTTAATATTCTTTTCTTTCTGTGTGTGTATGTACTGTACTGATTTTCATCTTATATTCAGTACATCATATCGATGTTACTGGAGGACCGGAGCAGAGTAAATGATGTTCACGGACACAGCAAATCAAAGAAACACAGTTGTATTCCACATTTTGTGCAGAGGTGAGATGGAGCGTTAAATTAAGTGATACATCAAATACCCAGCTGTCATTGTCTGATAAGAAGACATCTTCTTCTCTGCAGACACACACAGAAAAGGCAGTAAAGTGAAGCAAAAATTCCACCAAGCCTGAAGTTACATGAACCCCCTGCAGCTCACAAAAGAAGCCCTCAACCCCAGCACTCCAATAAAGGAGCTATCTGTCATGAGTGGACAGCAGCTGCAGTGCAACACATATCTGGCTCAAACTAGCGAATTAGAGAACTAGAGTTGCGAATTAATACATTTTTTGAATTGAATAATGCTGCACAATTGAAGAAGCTGCAACCATACCACATATATACAATGTTATCAATACCTATACTGAACAAACATTTTTAAAATTCATCTATACATCTTTGATGCAGATACTTCCACCCCATATTTCATACATTCATTACATAGTCTTCACATTTATTAATTAAAACTTTACATTTACTCCATTGCATGTTTATTATCCTGCTTTTGAACTTAAAGCTATTAAACACTGTATTTTAACTGGTTTGCTTACTGATTGTATGTTTTATTTTAACTTATTTTAGGTTTGTTTGTCTTTGTTGATGTTGGGAATCATTGAAAATGAAGGTCTCCCTCAGTTGATTGAGTTTTAAATGAAGCTGCAGAGCTTTTCAGCTGCAGAGACTCTCATCCACGCATTCATCACTTCCGGACTAGACCACTGCAACAGTCTCCTCTACGGTTTGTCAGCCAAAACACTCAAGTAACTTTAGTATATCAAGAACTCAGCTGCTCACCCCCATCCTTCATAACCTCCACTGTCTCCCCATCCCACAGCGTATCCACTTTCAAACTCATCATCACTTACAAAGCTCTCTACAACCTTGCTCCCCCCTACGTGTTGGGGCTTCTCCACCAGCACACTCCCTCCCACGCTCTTAGGTCTGCTGATGCCAACCTCCTTCAATTAAGTTTTCAGCAACACTAGTTTGAGCAATCAGCAAGGGAAAATGATAATACAAGCATATAAAGAGAATAGGAAATAAGCAGTAAAGACATATCAGAATTAAAACAACCAAGTTCAACTAATGAACTGTTGTGTTGTTCTAAACTTGGACATTTTACTACGTATGAGTGTTTAAGAAACCTTGTTTTCCAGAAGTATGACATTGTCTCTCAACTCCCTTTCTATTCTCTTTCAGGTGCCAACGCTTCAGCTCCTGACCAGCTGAGTTTGGCTCTGGCTTGGAACAGAGTGGACATCGCCCGCAGTCAAATCTTCATCTACGGACAGCAGTGGCCTGTAAGAAAGAACCTTCAACAGTAAATAAGAGGATATGCACACTGCAGCACGATGTTGTTTGTATTCACAGGACTTGTTTATTCCAGCTGCATTCTCACATTAACATTATGGTTGTGCACTGCCTAAAACGATTTTTGGCATTGTACTTCATTCTTGAATTACCTGACATTTGTTCACAGAAGTTGTCCTCAACAGCTGACAATATAAATAACAATTGATACTGCATACAAAAAGTGCAGCTCAGAATGATTTCCATTTACACAATATAACTTCAAAAGTGATGAGACAGAAAAAGATGATAAGGTAAGAATACTTTTCAGCTTCTAAAGGCAATTTGGATGCAGAAAGCAGCTCAGGATCAGTCGTGGGTGAAAGACTGCTGTGGTTATCTGTGACCATAATTGAGAAGTATGCAGCCCTTGCAGTTTTCAAGTCATATAAAGTTGTCTTAAAATGTTCAAACATTTTATTAGGCCTCTGCACAGCGACAGTTATGACAAATAAATCATAAGAGTGAATATATATGAGTATTAAAATATACACTAACCATTTAAGTGTGGCTCCACTCACATGATGTGAAATCCTATCATAATAATCCTGTCATTGTTTGAGTAAATGATGATGCCATATCTGTATTTATTTCCATGCAGTGCTCCTGTGTAGTCTGTGCTGTGTGCTTTGTCAGCCACGTCTCCTGGAAATTACATTTGTATAGTACTAAATTGTTTTCATTATTACATTGTGGTGACATTGTAATCGCTGCCTGTTTTATGTTCAGAGACATTTTTTGAGTTAATGAAACACTACAGTTAAGTATGGGAGGTGGGCAGGGTGGATGGCGGACATATAAATTGCTGGAATGTGACGCCTGAATACTAGATTTGTGCTCATACTTCTGTACGTGGTTATTTTTAGGCAACAAAAGCAATGGGTAAGGGTAGGAAAAGATTGTGATGTCAGTTAAATGTTAATATAAAAAGTAATAATAAAAAAAAAAGCTGTAGTCACTATGAGGTACATTAAATAGCAACGTTTCCTCATGATGTTAATAGAAACACAATTCCCTCAGCACTACGTTTCCCTCAAACATATTTGCTGTTTCAAATTGGTTGTATTTAAAAATAATTTCAGGGCTGGCTGTGTGTGTGGTGTCACGTATTCTTCATCCCATGTGCCTTAGGTCGGTTCCCTGGAGCAAGCAATGCTGGATGCCTTAGTTCTGGACAGAGTGGACTTTGTCAAGCTGCTGATTGAAAATGGAGTCAGTATGCACCGTTTCCTCACGCTTTCCAGGCTGGAGGAGCTCTACAACACGGTAATAACAAGTGCACATTAATTCATTGTAAATACAGAATGTGATCATGGATCGTTTTACAACACACCAGAAAACAGACTCCTTTGTGATTGTTGCGACTATGAATTTTAAAGTAAACTGAAAGGTTACTTGAACACACACACATAAAATTATGATGCTGGTGGTGAACAATGTAGCAGGCAGAGGTAGTTTTGTGCTGAGGACCTGTAGACACTGTCAGTGATGGTAACAATATCCGGTAACACTTTACTTGAAGGTATCTACATAAGAGTGACATGACACTGTCATGAACTTGTCATAAACATTATGTACATGTCATAAACGTTTATGGCTGCTGTCATTGTCATTTGGCTTTTGTAATGACAAGTTGACATTGTTTGGGTTGTCTTGATTATGACAACTTGACATTAATTAACGTGACATTACCAGAAGTTGTCTTTGTCATGACACCTTGACATTACATTTATTTGGGATGTGCTTATTATGACAACTTGACATCAATCAGGATGACATTACCAGAAGATGTCTTTGTCATAACAATAATAATCATTATGTCAACTTGTCATAAACACAAAAAAGGTGCATTTCTTGTAAATGTCAAGTTGTCATGACAAAGACATCTTCTGGTAATGTCATCCTGGTTAATGTCAAATTATCATAATAAGGACATCCCAAACAAATTTAATGTCAACTTGTCATGACAAAGACAACTTCTGGTAATGTCACTTTGATTAATGTCAAGTTGTCATAATCAAGGCAACCCAAACAATGTCAACTTGTCATTACAAAAACCAAATGACACTTAATGACAGCAGTCATAAACATTTATGACATGTACATAATGTTCATGACAGGTTCATGACTGTGTCATGTCATAATTTTGACAGTGTCATGTCACTCTTATGTAGATACCTTCAAGTAAAGTGTTACCCAATATCCTCATGTGTTTGTTTGTTTTTCAGAGACATGGACCGTCCAACACGCTGTACCACCTCGTCAGAGACGTCAAAAAGGTATGACCATCACCGCCGTCCCTTCAGCTCTGTGGCTGTCCAGGCACACTGTATGGGAATGTTGGCTTGAATGTGTATATTAAAGAAGACACATTTGACTACATAGAGTTTCAGTTGCTTTTTTTGGCCTTGTGTGTTGTTTACTCTATTTGCATCAGTTAGTGTGTCCACATTTTGGTAGCCCTAGTTGCTGTTACTGCAAATAGAGGCCGGCTTTTCTCTTTCAGCTGGAGTTGCGGGCTGCAGTGGCTGTGTAGAGCTATGCACGACTCTCATCCCTCTCATCACTTTTCAGCAATTTACTCTGTTCTTTCTCTAAGGCACACACCACCATGGTAAACAAACACTACATGTATTAAACACCGCTCTATCCACAGAACTTGAGTTTGAGCAAACTGAGGCCGCAGTGGAACTGCTGTGAGGCTGAGAAAGAAGAACTCAGTAGACACTCACAGTTTATCAATTTTTGCTCTGTTTTCATTTGTATTCTTTACAACACTATTGTGTTTTCCTTTTAATATGCAGTACCATCCAACTCTTTGAATACTGATATTGCACATTCCCCTACATAAATTAGACATTATTTTGCATCAGGACTGTGTTATATACATGTTTAAGATGATGGTGGAATCCTCTCTCTCAGCAAAGATTTTTTTTGTGCATATCTCCTATAACACCTTAACAATTACTACAATAAAAGACACCAACCTAGAATTTTAAATTCAGCACGTCTGCACGCCAATTAGTTGTGAGCCAACTGTTGAGACATGATTGAGAGGTCAGCAACACCACCATTAGCATCGAGAGGTGTTCATTAATTAAAGTGTTACTGATTACAGTAAAGCCGCATGCTCCTCTGGGAGTGGCTGAAGAGGCTCAGTGTTGTAATCACTCCTGCTTTGCCTCCTCTTTGTCTTTAAACACAACTCTAATCTGAAGTTGGTGCAGAGAGAATATGCAATTTATATTCCACAACACCTTGCCACGCTACTTCACACACATGCAAAACACACACCGTAGTGCATGGCAAAACATTCCCATCTTCTTTTTTGCGGAGCTGTGTGTAATTGCCATAGTGTAGCTGAGTGTTTGTGTGCTGTTGTATCATAGTATGATGCTAATTAGATTTAACTGCCATCCCTCGGGTTGAGTCACCATGTCATCGCTGTTTTCTTTCTCTCTCATTCTTCTCTGTGGATTGTTTGGTCGTACTGTTGGCAGGTATTATTTTGATTCAGATGCAGATGCTGTGCTAATAACAGCTGTAAGGTGCTGATGCAGGTCGCTCTCAGGTTTAATCTAGTTCATTGGTTAGATTGTGTGAAAGCTGAGTTGGAAAACAGAGAGTTACAGAGATCGGCTTGTGGACTACAGCTGCCAAAGCAGAAATTGGTTTCCCTACAGAGTAAACGAAAGATGCTGTTTTGTGGCCACAGGCTGGTGGCAACACACCTTGTGTCTCAGACATCAGGAATTGTTAGGAGAAAATCCAAATGTAATGGGTGCTTTTACTTCTTAGCTTTCTGTGCTAAATGAAAGCAGAAATGGGCCAGAATGATGGTTGACTTGTACTGTAGGTCATCAGCTCACTATTCAAACTGCAGGACATGAGAACACTGAGTGTCTGGAGAAAGACTGTTGAACTCAACACCCAAACAAACAAACCCTTCCAAGGGAGAAGAAAGGCCTGGAGCACACTGATCAAATTAACGTTTCAATACCACCATCTTCATCAGAGTCAAAAGGGGTCAGCGCCAGAGTCTCTTTGACTCTGATGAAGACACAGTGGTGTTGAAACATGAGTCTGTTTGCACTATTAAAAGGCCGTAAATTGATCGGTGTGCTCCAGTCCTCTCTTCTCCCCTGGGAAGTCTATGTCCCTAAGCTGAGAGGCAGCTGATTTGGCCACATGCTGTTGGATGATGAATGGGGAACACTGTTTCAAGTATGCACTTCCTTCAGTGCTCCTTCAGAAGCTCTGTGATATCTGCAATGTCATTTAGGTTTCATTACTATCATGGTGTAAAACCCGTTCCTTGAGGGCACGGATGTGGAAGAAGGAAAGTAGCTGGCATATGGTAGTGATGCTTGGTTCAACACACTTGATTTGTTTCCCATTTACTGAGCGAGGGCTGTGTATACACATCTGATTTTTTTCAGAGCGCACAGGAAGGACAGGTAGTGGACCATGAGGAGATATCTGCTGAATTTGACAAAAGTGTGTTGGATTAGAATCACTGACAGCACCTTTAATGTATGCTGCATTATACGTACACCTATACATGCCACCCTAAACCAAAATAACTGGTTGCCCAACTGCTTAACAAGTTGCCATTATGGCTGTAGTGTAGAGACATTTTCAGGACAGCAACTTCCCCATTAGTAAGTCAACCAGGATTCAAAGTTCACCAACTACACTGCAGAATTAAAAACCGCAGTGCTCAATAAGCTTTCACACAAGGTGTAAACAAACAGTTATTAGTTTGAGCTTCACTACCACAGGGAATTAAAAAGTACTCGGCTGACCGCAGACTGGTGCTTTTGAACTATATATATATTAGTAAGATGAGGAGGTGAAGCTTTGTGTGCTCTCTTTGAACCACGGACGTGTGAGAAGACAAGCAGTATCTGTAGCTCTCTTTACTTCAAAGTGTATCAGATGACCTACAGGGGCTTGCCGGGCTTGCCGGGCTTTACCACCACTGAAACTGAATCCTTGCATGTGAGGACAGGATAGGGATGAGCAGGACAGGGGGGATTTCTGGGATCTCACATCTGATTGGAGCGGATTGGAAATCGAGGAATACAGATATGTACGGTAATTGGTGTACCTCAAAGGAACAGTGGGGGTCAAGATAATGACTGCAGGATGTGGGGTTGATGTTGAGGGCACGAGGAAGAGGAGTGGGTGTTAACATAGTTATAGTCCTCACGTGAAAGGACTCCTATTCCAATAATGATTCTAGCCTCCAGCTTTAATAGCTGTCTGTCTGTCTTTCCATGCTGTTGCCCCTCTCTTCCAGGCTAATGAGACATTACCACTTTCTCTTTCTTTTCCTCTCTTAAAGACTGCATTGAACCTCACTGAGAAGATCTCATTATTTCCATAAATGCAAATTATGGCAAATCATTCAATTTTTTACGTCCTTTGTAATTGTCCTCAGACTTCATATTCTCTCTCTGAATCATATTGCACCTGAGTTTTCATTCTCTTCTCATTTCCTACTCCTTGGTAAGAGAAGTTACAGCTCTGGGCTTTAAAGATTCATAGAGAGCTTTCCAGGAGTAATACCACACCTGGAACTGTAACCAGTTTTTGGTTCAACCAATAACAAGATCGGAGGAATAGCTCCAGATTTCTAGAGACAAACTGACACCTACATGGTTTTAAAGAATTTACAATACAAAAAGTAACCCGAACCATAGTCTGGTTGAGATACAATTTATTAAAGAGGCTGGAAGAGAGATCTTGCCTGAGAGTTTCTGTGTATCTTATATCCCCTGCTCTTGCTCACTGACATTGTGTGTTCTTTCCAAGCGAGAATATCCAGGGTTCAGTTGGATCTACTTCAAGGTGAATCAGATAATCACGTTTCCTTTCATAGCCAAAAACACTTTGATATGGATTTTGTGAAGTGAGTGTGTATGTCTGTGTGATTTGTTTTGTACTCTTGTTTCCCTATTGTTTACCCTCCTTTATTAATCAGGTGGCGTGGGTTGTTGCCTGTTAACACTGTCTGGTTTTTTAGGGAAACCTGCCCCCGGACTACCGCATCAGCCTCATCGACATTGGACTGGTCATTGAATACCTCATGGGTGGGGCATATCGGTGTAACTACACCAGGAAGAGATTCAGAACTCTGTACCACAACCTCTTTGGACCTAAAAGGGTGAGTAAATGATTCTCATCCCACCATTTAATGCATTTCAACACTAATGTCTGAGAATTTCCAATGTCATTAATCATAGGACCAGTATAAGTGAAATGAGCCTCATGATCAAATTAGTCCTGATAAGGGCAAGATTAATCATATGGGCAAATTATGCTTTATAATAAAATGCTAATCAGGGAACTACACTCAAGGGCACTTCACCTTGCTGATGCAAGTAGTAAATTAGCATGTACACGATAGTTGTGACATGACTGAATGAGCAAGAAATACATGAGACCTTAGTGTGATACTTGATGTTCGGAGCAGAAATTAGTTAACCACATACTGTAATGGGTGTTGTTTTTATACTGCAAGTTGATTATGGTCTTTTCTTTGCTTAGATGATTGGGTTTTTCCAAATATCAGGAAACTGTTTGAAAAGGCAAGAAATAGTTTCTCTCAGAATGAATGGGAATCAGCATACTATTATTTTGCTTAGCTTATCGATGAGCCCCAACCACTAGCTTTGAAATGTTTGTCTTCAACTGGTAGCTAATGTAGCAGGTTGTAATATTAAAGCTGGGGAAGGCAGAAATCTGAAAACGGCAAAGACCCCTTCCTCTCCTTCCTCTGTCTCTGAATGACTTGCAGCAAGGGCCTGCAAACTGGAACTGAGCCCAGGCCGCTGCAGCGAGGACAGTGCCTCTGTACATGGGGCGCCTTCTCTAACCACTAATCCACCGACGCCCCTATTCAATTGTACGCCCCTATTTAATTGTAGACTAGCCTTCCCCTGACCACAAATGACAAGAATTAGTTAGCTCGCCACCCAACGAACCCTCCACCTCGCTCCCCACCACTGTGTACTACTTCCCTGGGAGAAGAGCAGGCAGCAGCTCCGGTGACCAACCCTTTAGTCAGCAGCTGTAGCGGCTTGAATTCAGCTAGCACAATCCCCCTAGCGCCAGGTGTCAGAGCAGGCTGGTGGTCAGCAGTAGTGCCGGGTCTAACCTGTGTAATGGCAGCACCAGACAGTTTGCTGATCCAGCAGCGAGTTGGGGCTGCTGCCCGCTCTCTGGCAAGGTGGCTTGTAGCGGCAGGGAGTGAGGCGGAGGACACACTGTGATTGGAAACTCTGGCTCATGTTTGCTATGTAAATGTGAACTTGATGCCACAGCTTCGAGCCTTTGACTCTGGTTAGCAGAAGAATGAACTCTAAACAACATTTTCTCTCCATTTCTGAATCCCTTTGCTGATACTGACACGTGTCCTATTGCGGTTATTGTCAGACTCTCTTTTAGACTCTCGTTGAATCAGGCTTTCACTGAAGGGACTTGCTTGTGCATCTGCATCTGTAGAACAGCCAATAGGAACACCCTCTCTTTGAACTGACCTGTGACTGGCCAAAGTCTCCCGTCATGGCCTAGATTTTCTAAATCCTGAAAATAGAGCCAAGAGGAGGTGCAGAAGTCTACTTTTCTATCAGTCCACTTACAATATGCTCAAAGGTTATTATGGGATTTTTGCCCAGTGGCACCAAAATAAAACTGCCTGCCCCAGCTTTAATCTACATATCTAAGCATGTCAGCCCAAAAGTACACCACATCCATTATAAAAAGGCATATTCATAAAAATGTGATGTTAGGGAATTTATTGTCACAAAATCCATGCAAACATGATCTCCTTCAATAAAGGCTGCTGTTCATCAGCAGAGGTCAACATAAGAGACTATTTATTATCTTGATGCAACAAATCACCCATCTATAGCAGTGGCTCTTCATCATGTGCCATCATAACCCAAATAATATACACACTTCATCCAAACCACTACAGAAACTCATCTCACTGATTAGCACATCTTCAAACAAAGTGGAGGAGCTGATCATTGAAATCACGTGCCGTAGTGTTTGATGATTGTGTGTTTTACACCACACATACTGCACATTATATGGTCTATGTTCCTGTTATGTTGTTCTGATGTATAATTCTCTCATTCTGCCTCGATACCTCACACAACGCCACAGGTGTGATGAGAACAGAAGTATACACAGCTGTGTCTGAAACACCATATTTCTGCTCGAATGGTGCACCTTTGTGTTTGTATGTTTGAGCGTGTGTGTTTGTGAGTGTGTGCATGTGGGTCTCCGTGCGCCTGTTTATCTCATTGTGTGTCTGCCATGGCAGCTGGAAAGACGCAGATAAAGCGAAAGCAAAGAAACGGGACGGAGACGAAGCAACAAGGCAAAATGAGAGAGAGTGAGAGTCAGCTCCAATTTGACTGTGATTTTCAAGATGAAATGAATGTGCAATCACGTAGTCACATGCACGCACACATACACACAAACACATGTTAACTAAGAACAAAGCCTTGAAATAGATGCAGATATCAAAATCCCCACAGGAGACCTGAGCTATTTTTACCAACTCAGATGATGGCTCATGAATGCATAATTCATACATGCCCTGCTTTAATACAGACACACAGTACTGTACCAAATGCACAAATACACTCTGCTTAACACATGCAAACACGCACATTGTTACTGTATGTATAGAATACTATCAGTCACAACAGCACAAAATATGATCCCTTACTGTTGTTGCCATATTAAAGAAAACCTCAAAGTGAACGACTTACCATATTGAAGAATATTGCTGGTTTCATGTGAGTGAGTCTGTCTGTCAGTCTGTGCCGTGTTGTGCTTATAGAGTCAATCACTCTATAAAATACATTCGCCAAGGTCTTGTTCTGCTTGTTTATGTTTTTGTTGCTTTTCTAGCCCAAAGCCCTGAAACTGCTGGGGATGGAGGTGAGTGTTGATCTCATCAAGATTGTTATTCAGTCATTCCTTCACTGTTCCTCTCCCACGTTTAAAACACACTATTCTCCCTCATAACGTGTTGAGTGTACAGTCAGTCTGCAAAACCTTTTCAGCAAAATAGTCATTAAGTGTGTGCTGTGTGCCTCGCAGTCTTTGAAAGGAAGACCTTGAGGCATATTTTAATGTACTTTGCTGCCATTCTGTATACACGTTTGAGCCAGTTGAGGGCTCAATGAGAGATAGCATTATTAATACATTTCACACTACCTTCAACAAAGTTATTTTCAATTTAAAATTTTTCTCAGATTGATGAAATAAAAAAACACTAAACAAAGATGTATGGCTACAGAATTCTCTCAGGGCTCCAGCAGACAGTACGAATGCTTGTAACTCTTATGATATATGTCAGAGCAGCCCAGCTACATTTAACTGAATAGGTGATGACTGACCAAACAGGATTATATAACACATGGTTTGTGTACTCACATGTATCCATGGTGTACACACCATGAAGTATTCACATCATAAATCTTTTATCACAGCATGTGTCTACAGTTGTGCATGGCTGTCCATTCCTTTGTACGTCTGCCTGTTTGAAATCCGTCTCCCTGTCAGTGTGTGTTCTCTTCTTGTTTTTGTCTGTCAAAGTCTTTACCTTAAAGGGATAGTGCACCCAAAAATGAAAATTCAGCCATTATCTACTCACCCATATGCCGATGGAGGCCCTGGTGAAGTTTTAGAGTCCTCACATCCCTTGCGGACATCGGCCGGGGGAGCGGCTAGCATACCTAATGGCAGACGGCGCCCCAGACTAACGTCCAAGAACACAAAATTGAATCCACAAAGTATCTCCATACTGCTCATCCATAGTGATCCAAGTGTGCTGCAGCCCCGACATAAAAAGTTGTTTTGAATAACGTCATATGAACTCTGTTTTTAGCCTCACTGTAGCCTGTAGCTCTGACTGCTTCTCTGTGCTCTGCGCTCACGTGTGCGCGCTCAGGGTGATCGGTGATGCAAGAGCACGGTCTCTGAAGAGCAGCAGTCTCGTCAGTACTGATGTCCAGATTCTCAAGTGCAGGCACCGCCAATTCCCAGTCTGAGCAGCAAAGACTTTCCTCACCCGTTGGCATTGCTTTGCATTTGAAACAATTACACCACCAGGTTTCCAGTGCTCGACTCCGGTATTCTGCGGCTGGCTGAGGGTTAGGCTCATGAGCTGCGGTGGCTGCTTCATCCAGTAGCCTGAGTTCTGTCCGTATACTCGGGCTCAAACAAATACAGCTCAACAAAGAAATGCTGTTCCTCCTCGATTTCAAAGTCTTCAGACATGTTGGGCTGTCCTTTGCTAAAATACCGTAGTGCAAATTATCTTTTAGCTCTGTGGTTACCGTTGTCTCCCCCTGCGGTGCACGTGTCACGTGATGTAAAAAGCTGATGTACAAAGCTGGTCTCGCGCAAGCGCGCACACGTGAACGCGGAGCACAGAGAGGCAGTCAGAGCTACAGGCTACAGTGAGGCTAAAAACAGAGTTCATATGACGTTATTCAAAACAACTTTTTATGTTGGGGCTGCAGCACACTTGGATCACTATGGATGAGCAGTTTGGAGATACTTTGTGGATTCAATTTTGTGTTCTTGGACGTTAGTCTGGGGCGCCATCTGCCATTAGGTGTGCTAGCCGCTCCCCCAACCGATCTCCGCAAGGGATGTGAGGACTCTAAAACTTCAACAGAGCCTACATTGGCATATGGGTGAGTAGATAATGGCTGAATTTTCATGTTTGGATGCACTATCCCTTTAATGTCCTACTCTCTTTTTGTAATCCAGTTTTTCATTCAGTGTCAGTATGGCAGCCCGGCCATACATTTATGAAGCTGCGATCATTTCTAAATATTCATTAAAATCACAAACCTATTTTATAAATGGAATGTCACTTTCTAGTGTTACTGCGCAATTTACTGCAGTACTATTATCATCTTCAAATAATCTGTCTCAAAGCAAGCAGCAATTGTAGATCCACTGGGAGTCATTTCTCAGATTTCTGTAATTGATCAACTGTCAGTAGTCCTTAACTGTTAAAATGTGAATTATCGGAGATCAATGCAGCCCTGCTGACATGCCATTTATACTCTAACTGGCAGCATCAATTTCTCAAAGGTTAAAAGGGGGAGTCAAAGGTAAAATACTATGAGAGAATTTTATTGAAATATGTAAAAGACCGTGCCTGTTATGTGTATTTTGTGTGTAGCACTTTGTCCTTCCACCTGTGTCCTCCAAATTTTTCTTCTGCATTGAGCTAACTTTCATCATGTGGGCCGTGAGCAGTTTCAGAAAATACATTATGAAAATCCTTACTTTGTGATATGACTCATCTAGATCAGTGTCTAATGTGGCCAAATACAGGGCAAGTCCTCCAAAGATAAAATCATGGGTACCAATCAGATTCTTGGCTTTCACTTTCAGAACCCAGGTTTTGACAGAATAAATTCATAAGTAGTTCAGCATCAACTTAAGCACTCTAATGTTGTCCTAGGATCAAATATAATCCATTACAACTCATCCCAAAATATGTATCTCTACATAGCTGTCTCCTTTTCTGACCACCCCCACTCACTTCTTATGGATCTCCACCAGGATGACATGCCCATCCGCAGAGGCCGCCAGAAGACGACGCGCAAACGAGAGGAGGAAGTGGACATCGATTTGGACGACCCCGAAATCAACCACTTCCCTTTCCCCTTCCATGAGCTTATGGTGTGGGCCGTGCTTATGAAACGTCAGAAGATGGCGCTGTTCTTTTGGCAGCATGGCGAAGAGGCCATGGCCAAGGCTTTGGTAGCATGTAAGCTTTGTAAGGCGATGGCACACGAAGCCTCTGAGAACGACATGGTGGATGACATCTCGCAGGAGCTAAACCACAACTCCAGGTGTGTGACATGAAGTAAAGCCGTCATTCATGATGATATGCCAGTCTAGATCAGAATGTCTACCTCTGAACTCCAGCACCTATCAGCACTTACACAGACACACTAGCTTGCCTTTATTCCTGCAAACTAACCTGTTTCAAACTACACCAGGCTCCCACGGGATATAAGTGACATAGATTTAAATCTGACAACATGCATCTTCGTTAGTTAAGGCTATGCATTTGAGATGAAGGTAATCACCGAGAGATGAAGATGCTGGCTATGGAAATGACTGTTAATTAGTGGGGAATCTTTCAGATTCTACAAATGAAGCACAGCAATACCAATCCAAAATCCCCACACACTTAGACACACACTTACACATAGTTTCAAAGAACAGCCTTGCAATTGGCAGATTTTGAGTTTACTTTCCACAGAGAATTTGGCTGGCTTCCTTCGAAAAGCTCATTTAACCACATACATTTTTATATTTTCATGTAATCTTTACAAATGCAGTGTTTGTATGTGTAAACTCAAGGGATATTTGTGTGAAATAGTGAAAGTCACAATGTGTGGAAGTTCATACAGTAATGTCTGCATTCTGTAGGGAGTTCTTCTTTCAGTACTTTCCAAGGCACTTGCAAACAAAATATGGCTGGACTATTCACCTTTTGTACTTAATATATCACAGAAGTAATCTGAAAAGCATAAGCAAAAGCAAAGAAACATATCCATCCATTATGTAACACTGCTGAGCTGTGTCGTGCTGTACATCATGACATTGGGAACCTTTGTTTTATAAATCTCCCAAATCCCAGCGATGTTAGTGCTTCGTTAAATGCATTAAACTACAAAGGGTAGACGGCTCTCCAGTGTAGTGTGCAATATTGTGCTGTGTATTTCTGAGTGTGTGTGTGTGTGTGTGTGTGTGTGTAATGTGTGTGTGTGTGTGTCTGTGTAGAAGAATGTCCTTTAGAGGCTGAAATTAGGGTGGGATGTATTGAAATGCTGGTGTGTGTGTGTGTTGGCCATATAACAGCCCCTCGTCTACAATTGTTTTCATATTTTGGCCTCATCTCTTGAAGAAATGTTTTCCAATAGCTCTATGGTTCTGTAATTGTAACTATGAAGTCTGCACACAGCATTTCTTGATTAGTTTGCAGTATGCATATATTATAAACTTGAACAACATGTATTCCAAACCTCTTCACCTTCGAGAAGATAGAGACATAATTACCAGTGAGAATTTGGGCCCTCTATGCTGTTTACTAAAGAAATTACTTATGCTTGTCATGTGAGGCCTTGACCATGCCTATGTGGTTTGTGTGTATGCAAATCTAATCTCCTGTAGAATTTGGCCAGATGGTCAGATTCTTTAATTACATTTTTACATGTTTGGACAAAGTGTCACTGTCTCTGTTCATGTCTCAGTGTGCCCGTATATGTCCTGCATATAATTTCCCAGAGAGTTTGGCCAGCTGGCAGTGGAACTCCTCGACCAGTCCTATAAACAGGACGAGCAGATGGCCATGAAGCTGCTGACGTATGAGCTGAAGAACTGGAGCAACGCCACCTGCCTGCAGCTGGCGGTAGCGGCCAAACACAGAGATTTCATCGCTCACACCTGCAGTCAGATGCTGCTGACCGACATGTGGATGGGACGTCTGCGCATGCGCAAAAACTCAGGCCTGAAGGTAATATAAGTGGGCCAGATGTTTGACATAACCCATGGGTAAAGAAAAGTGTACTTACATTGAACAGATCATCTGTGCACTTGACAGTGACTCCAGGCTTTGGTGTTGGTGTTAGAGAGGCAGAGTTGTGTTGGAATGCTTGAATCCCCTCAGACCGCCTGAGAAAAGTTGGGCAGGGAAAGTAATGAGAAACCCTCTCACCTCCCTGAGGAACTACAGTAGAGGTGGCCTGAATCACTCCTGTGGATCTGCTGAGTGGCTTGCAGAAAAGTGGAGAGTGGTTCTAAATGTGAGCTACTAGGTGTGATGTGTGGAAATGTCGGGATGTAAAGTGTGATGGAGTTGCTGATTCTTTCTGTAGAAACTATATGAAAATTGTGTTTTTTGTGGGTTCAATATTATTGATGCAAAGATAAAACATCAGTACGCAACATCATCTTTAAAGGACAACTTCGGTATTTTTCATCCTGGGCTCTATTTCCCCATGTGTATGTGTGCGATGGGGGCAAATGTGTCCCGTATAAAAGTGCTTTTTTTCACCACTGACCAGTTCAGATCGCCAGTGTTATCTCTGTAAATAGCATATTGTAGTGGCCCTGGGGCAGTGGTGAGGGTGAATGAGTGGAGTCAGCTGTCAGTCAGTGTTGGAGCAGAAAGGCGGAAGGCGTCCCCGCTTGGTAATGTAAATGAGTATGTGTGTGTGAAGTATGTGTTACGCTAGAAGAGTCAGAGGACGGAGTCTTTTACGTGCTACCCTCTGGAGTGTTACCGGAGTTTTTGGAGTGCTCAAATAAACAGGCCTTTTTCCCGAACGCAAGAACAGGATGTCGCGCAACACCCTGTGAGTTACAGCTTTCACAGGCTGCCTTTGTCGGACGGCGAGATGCTGAAGTTGTGGCTAGTTGTGCTACAAATGGATGCTAACACTCCTCTCCAGACACTGCGCCTTGCAGACCATCGGGTCTGCAGTGGTCACTTCTCCCAAAATGACTACTGCCAGCCGAAGAAGAGAAGACATCCAATTCCTCAAGAAAACAGCTGTCCCACGAGTAGAGAGAGCTACAGACACAGTGGAGCAAAGCTCGTGACATCACACAGCCCAGAGGTAAGGGAGAGGCTAAGTTAGCATGCTATTTACAGAGATAACACTGGCGATCTGAACCGGTCAGTGGCGAAAAAACACACACTTCACACACACATACTCATTTACAATACCGAGTGGGGACGCCTTCCGCCTCTCTGCTCCAACACTGACTGACAGCTGACTCCACTCATTCACAGTCACCACTGCCCCAGGGCCGCTACAATATGCTATCTACAGAGATAACACTGGCGATCTGAACCAGTCAGTGGTGAAAAAAAGCACTTTTATACGGGACGCATTTGCCCCCGTTACCGTTTTAGCTCGTTTCGCGGCTCAATACTGAACCAATTTTAGAACGAGT